GTATTTTAGAGAGGAGGCTTTCTCTTGGCAACAATGAATACTTGTTCAGTTTTTTATGCACTTACGTTGACAAGGATAAACATAAATGATGAAACATTTTTCCCACTGAAGACACTTACAGAGCAACAGAATTCACTTTCTGGGACAATGGCGCATTCTTTGTAATTTTGCCTTTTTGCAACACCGCGAACAATCTGCATTTGACTAAAGTGTAGATGTTCAGCTTCAATTCAAGTAGTTTACCAAAAGTGTATAATAGCTCTTTAGGAATTATAGTTATTTATTTTATTTATACATAGTCCTCCATTTCATTGTTTGATTTCAAAATCTGCTATGATGATGTACCAAGGCAAACACTTCTTTTTTAAAGCGTCGTTGATCAGAAACTTACCCACAGTAAAGTTTTATTAGATGAATGCATCTGAAATATATTTTCTCCTCTATTAAACTAGTGCTCTAAGGAAAGGAAGACCAAGAGGAAAATGGAAAACACAGCACAGGACACAGCCAACATGACGAGCGAAGAGGCTCTGTGTAGCCCCGTCGACCACAAGACCAGAAAGCGCCCTGGCTTCTCCAATCTCAAAGTACTGAAGCTATCTGTGATCAAAACTCTGTCACCTTTTTTATCCTGCTTTTGATCTCAGACTGCGGTTCATTCTGTTGATGCACTCAGTGTAAAGTGGCCCAGATAAAAATGCCAGTTAAAAGCGTAAAAGGCAGTAGGTGGTGCAGTTGTTAGCGCTGTCTCCTCACAGCGAGAAGGCTCTGGGTTTAAACTCTTACCCCGCTGGCACTGCTGCCTGTTTAGACTTGTTGTAGTTTCCTCTAAAGACATTCGGGTTTTGGTGAATCAGTGACACAAAATTGCCCATAACTGTAAATGTTTTTCTCTTCATGTGTCAGCCCTGCGCTAGGCAGGAAACCTGTCGTGCCTGTGCGCATCTCTCGCTAGAGTGAGCTCTAACAGCCTCCCCTTTTGACCCGGCACAGGCTAAAGATAGATGATAGGTGGATAAATGCTCAGAAAGCCAGATGCACATCTGTTTTCAGTTGATTGAACAACATTTTCAGAGATATGTTTTTCCCAAAGTAGGTAAAATCAAGCCAAGAGCTGATCTTGTGTTGTTACTGAAAATCTCAGCATGCCAAATTTCTGCTCTAAATGAGCTTTCGTCAGACTCTTCTGTAGCTGCCCTGAGCTACGCTTTGCCTGATTACAGCAGTACACTGGCGTCATCATGTTTCTGTTTTCATCCTTTTCTTTTTCCACATTCTTTTTCCATTAATTCTGAGACAGACTGTCAAAATTTAAAAAAGCTTATTGTTGTTAACTGTGATGTCAAGACATTACACCAGATTTTGTGCACTGATTCAACACAACATAAGTTGTTGTTCAAGTTAAGAATAAAGGGGTAATGCAACATTAAACAAGGACCACAGTTACACAGTAGAAGGTAGTGGAGACTCAGAAAAGGGGGCAGAATCTTTTCCATGATTACACTATGACATTGTTTGGGTATGTAGACACATAGTCCTAGTTTTATCCAGAACATCTTTGCATTATTAGAATGTGAGTTTTTATATTGTCTTCTGTTTTCTGTCTTCCAGCTGTTTATTGTAGCGCTTTCCTTCGCCTATTTCTCCAAAGCCCTGACAGGAACCTACATGAAGAGCTCCATCACTCAGATAGAGAGGCGCTTTGACCTCTCCAGCACACACATCGGTCTCATAGACGGCAGTTTTGAGATGGGTAACATCAACCAGTTCATTTAAAAATAAACGCTTTGATGTTTTTTTTTTGTGATACAGTGGAGAAAAAGTCATTCTTTTTGCTTACTTGATTTCAATCTTTTTTGGGGTGTGTGTGTAGGCAACTTGTTGTTTCTAGCTGTGGTCAGCCATTTTGGGGCTAAGCTGCACCGACCCAGACTCATCGCTGCGGGCTGTTTCCTCATGGCTGTGGGGGCGTTTCTCACTGGCCTCACACATTTCTTCATGGGACGGTACAGGTCAAATTTAAATGAGAAACTTCTATAAGCAAAAACGATGACAGAAGAAATTGACATGGACTTTTTGTTTGTTTTTTGCAGGTATAAGTATGACACGGTGATTCAGGTCTTTCAGAATGACAACCTGAGCATTGCTGCCTGTGTGGATCCTCTGAAAACACTAGATCACGTGCCAGAAATTCAAATAGAGCCTTCGTTGGAGGACAATAAAGGTAAGAGTGTGGAATACATGCCAGGATTAAATATAATTAAAGATAGTAAAACATTCACTTTCACTATTTAGTGCAGTCAAATGCATTTCTGCTTTCTGCTGCAGTGGGTACAGTAAATACCTGTAAATAGGAGAGAATAGCATGGCAATGTCAGCTATTTATTGTTATTATTACTTATTTATTTATTGCTTAAAACTCATGGTTTTTGTAAATTTTCTTTTACAAAAAAACATGAAACTTTAACATGAAACCTTGTTAAACCTACTAACAACTCGCCGGCCAATCAGCTCTCTCCTGGTGCATCTTTGTCACCAGGAATAAACAAAGACACAACAGCATGCACGTCCGCAACAATAAGCCCGGACGCAGACTCTAGAGCTAGCCAACGAGAGACGACTTTTAAAAAGAAAAGACTGAAAGGAGGCAGAATAATAAGAAAGCAGACATTTGTAATATTTATGGTAATGAATTCAGTTTGGCTCTGTGTGCCCATGTGTTTTTCAGTGTTTTTAGGAGCTCCTCTTGTTCCCATTAATTTTGGTCCCTGAGATGGGCTTTAGTTGCAATGTTGCTTCAGTCTCACTATTGTTAAACTATAATTAATTCTGCTTCTCACAAAACCATGTGATGCTCTCACAAAATGCAATCTATTGATCCTGTTCAGCTATTCAGATGAGACGTATTTGGAAAGAAATATAATGGAAGTCACGTACAATGTGGTGATATACAACAAGCCACTATTAAGATGATACTGAATATCGGCAGATTTTATTCATGTCTTGTTTGACGTAGTCTCCGTAATGAAAAAGCAGATATAGCAGATATAGATGTAAAACTGTGTCTTTCTCATTTTCATGATCCATGCAATATTTGGTGTGTTTTTTTATTGTAGTACGCATGCTCCATGTATAACTTTGATGCTGTGCGAGCCACTGTGTGTGAACTCTTTGTAACAAAATCAATATCACAGATTTCTAGTTTGTGTCATTATGCAGCCTGTGTGAGAGATTCTGGTTCCAGCATGTGGATCTACGTATTCCTGGGGAATGCTCTGCGGGGGATTGGAGAAACTCCAGTCACACCTCTTGGCATCTCCTACATCGATGACTTTGCTAAGGCGGAAAACTCCCCTTTTTATATTGGTAATATGGGGTTCAAAGGGATTTTAAAGTCTTCCACCTGACTTAAAATGTGTTACTTAATAAATAAATTCCTTAAAATGCCCTATAAGCCATGTGAGAATACACACATTCATCATTCCTGTATGTATAGCATTTTTATGCTGGTTAATGTGTGATTTTTATCAGGGTAAACCTACAATTAATCTCGTATTCAGTAAATTTAACTGAGGGTCAAGGAAATATCTCATCTTGCATCCTATCCTTTAGATCAGGGGTCTCAAACCTGCCGCTCGGGGACCACTTGCGGCCCACCTCACCCCTACTTATGGCCCTTATATCAACGTGAAGACATATAATGCAGTTTGGCCCTTGATGTTGTTTTATTAGGGAGGATGTGTTTGTTGTTAAGTGCAATGTTAAAATAAGTTCTTTAAAAAGCAAAAAATGATCTAATATGAAGGCAATATGAGCAGAGACTACAAACATGTGGAGGGATTGGCTGTGTTAGTCTAGTGAAAGAGTCAAAAACTGATGCGTACACTTATGTCTGCACTTTTTTATTTTATTTTTTTAATACGAACAAAATTATTCTGGCCACGTGTTTATTTGGTAGGTCAATGAAAGGCTTCAGTTAGTTAAGAGTGAGGTAAAAAAGAAATTGCGTTGATGTTTGCAATTTTGTCTTGTGATACAATATTGGAAATTTTAAAAAACAAACAAAAGAAAACATTTTTGGAAATATTTGTGGGTGCTTTCTTGTTTTCGCTTGTTTGTTTTTTTTGTACTACTCGACCACTAAAGTGGTCCTCCAATGAGATGACAGTGCCAGTAGTGGCCCACAGCTCATTTAAGTTTGAGACCCTTCTTTAGATTGTTTAATATCACATCGTAGACTTCTGATCTATTTTGTCATTGGCAGCTTGTCTCCAGACCATTACTCTCCTGGGTCCCATGTTTGGCTTCCTTTTGGGTTCCTATTGTGCCAGACTATATGTTGACATTGGATATGTTGATATGGGTAAGGTTTTTCTTTGTGTGTCTGGGTTTTGTTTTTTGTTTTTTACATGATACACGACTCATTATGGTTAGAGCTCATCTTAAAAGTATCCGACAGATGGCAAAAGCTCACAAAATTCAAAGCAGTGATTTTATTTTTTTTATTTTATTTTTTTTTCTAAAAGAAAGCAGTGATTTTAGCTGAAAGAATATAAAAACCTGTCTGCGTTAGAAACAAAAAGAAAATGTACACATTTAGATCTTTTTAGGCAACGACACATTTCTCTGCAATTTTGCCTATATATTTTAAATCAAATATTTTAAATAAATTAAATCAAATATTTCAAATTGACTGTAAAATTAATGCAAACATATTTTTTTTAAAATTAAAGTTTAAAGTTTAAAGTCTGCACTTCAATCACATCATGATTATTTGGGTTGACATTGAATGGGATGGTGTCTGGAGGCTAAAATGACAAAAACTGTCTTTGTCTAACAAATCAAGTTTATGTACTGTGTAAGGCCAAGAAGCTGGATGGGGGTAACAAGAGTTAAAGAACAACCTTTCACAAGTTAAAAACATTTTAGCCAGTCTACACTTTTGTCAACAGAGATATTTTGATTGAGACTTGTTTATGCGAAGCCTTTATTTGAAGACTTCCTGAAGAAAACTTGAAAATTCTTCTCTTTTACATAGATAGTGTGACCATCACTTCTAAAGATTCCCGCTGGGTGGGTGCTTGGTGGATGGGTTTTCTTGTGTCCTCTGGCCTTCTGCTTATCTCCAGCATTCCCTTCTGGTTTCTGCCCCGTTCGATGCCCAAGCAGGAGAGTGAAGAAAACCATGAAACTCCAGCCTGCAAGATCCTAAACAAGACAGAGGATGCGCGAAACAACAACCAAAACTTCAAGCTGACTGAAATTGCCAAAGGTAGAGTCGTTGTCTGTGTTTGCATGTGCAGGTTGATGGTTTTTACGTGATTTTTGTGGATGTTCCTGCCCAGGGTTCCTTCCATCATTGAGGCGTCTGTTAGGAACTCCTGCTTACTTCCTGCTTCTTTGCGGGAGCATCCTGAAGTTCAATGCATTCATCGGTCTACTCACCTTTAAAGCCAAATACATGGAGCAACAGTTTGGACAGTCTGCATCCAGGGCAAACTTCCTCATAGGTAAAAATAATGAAATCAATAAATTATGTGTTCATATTGAACTTTTGATAGAAAAGTGGAAGATAGGCGCAGTCATTTATTGACACGTGTTCAAACATACATGAAAATAGTGTTTTTACAACTCTATCAAGCTTGAAGGTCAGCATTTGCAATGACCACCAACACAACACAGCCTGAACACTCCCAGAGAAACTTTCTTTTAATTTGCTACCCTTCAGGAATAGTTCTCCAGGCTTCTTTAAAAACATTCAAAGCTCTCCTTTGGCTGCCTTTTGTTCTGTTCTCTGTCAAAATGATCCCACACTGCTTCAGAGCTTGATTAATCAACTCAGAACAGGTTTGGAGAGGACAGCCTGTGAAGGAAAACTGTACTCGTAGGTGTATAGATACCCAGCGCCAACCCTGCACACTTCTGCCTTTTCTCATTTCCCTTCCTTCAGGATGGCTTCTTCACAGCCAACATTCCTCTGAGACATGCATCTCTCATGTCCTGTGTCAGATCTT